ATCTTTCGGAGTAATTATACAATAGATGCATCAAGCCTTCGTATTTCATGAAAATGAATGAATAATCAAACAATTTATAGATAATATAATACACACAGATAAATGTGTACTTAGTTGTATAATATTTTGCATGTCGTCCAATTAAAATGTATTTTTGTGGAACTTCACACGTAAGCCCCACCATATATTGTCTTCTTTGCCAAACCAATGTACATGCCACAAAATAGAAAAATAAACGCATTAATTGTTCTTACTTTTTGGTTGTCTCTTTGAATATCTATTGATTTTCCAGAGTGAAGTCTCTATATGTATTTTTCTCCTTTCGGTAAATATTTGTCTCCTCTCGAAGCAAAAATAGAAAACTTTAAAACGTACAACTTTTAGAATATATAAAAACTCGCCACTATTCCAAAACTTATAAACACACAACTTTTAGTATGTTTCGAGTTTGGTTATGCAAGGACACAAACATTTATCATTGAATCTTATAATGGGATCAAGCCTAATCTGAAAACTTATACCATGTGAATCTCGAACGAAAACATATTGTTTGTCTTTGATTATTCTACTTTTGATGTTTCACAAGTTAGATTAGTGGGGGATCGAGAGGTTGAGATCAATCGAGATTGAACGGTCAAGATGACCAACTAAGATTATGAAAATAAGAAAGATTTCCAGAAGATTGTCAATACTGGAGATATTAGGAAAATTAATATTTGTGTATAAATTAGATTTTCTATTTCATCTCCAATATTGGAGATATTAGGAAAGAACACAAAGGTGTTTAGAAATAACTATGATAGAATTGGAGGAAATCTTAGTAGTACTGTATAATAGTTTCTCTCACTTTTATTCATTAGCCTATATATAGACTTATTTATACAAAGATCATAACTTGTCTAGCAAGTTCTTCACATATATATGAAATAGGAAATCTAACTTATACATAAATATTAACTTCTCTAATATCTCCAATATTGACAATCTTCTGAAAATCTTCCGTATTTTCATAATCTTGATTGGTCATCTTCACCGTTCAATTTCGGTCGATCTCAACCTCTCGATCTCCCAATAG